AGGCTGTTTAGTTTATCATGAAATTACCCAAATAAGTGAACGGTCCCTCGAAACAACCTCTAACGATATAAGATTAATCGGCCTTTGGAAAGGTCAAATAAACATGTACTCAATGCACATAACACATTGTATTTCCATAGGCGCAACTTTGGATGTTGTGAAGGGGGGGGGATTTGGAATATTGAAAAATATATATTTCTTTTTCAAGGGTTTTCAGGATTAAAAGTTCTGATAGAGGTCACATTTCTGTCTTTCATCCATTTATTATTGAGAAATATTGGAAGCAAAAAATTCATCTTCTACAATTAAACCAAATTTTCTCTTTTTCTCTTAAATATTAAAAAGATCCATTTTCCGAGGGGAAAACAAAATTAAAAATTTATAAAAAAAAAACTACAGTTAAGTTGGTAGAAGTTAATTTGCCACAAACTATGATTTTCTGGTAATATATCCTAGAGAATGGTTTTTGGACACCCCCTCCACCACCCCCCACCCATACATCTAAAAAATGTACATCAAATGTTAAACATGTGACCGCAACGCCATACCCCCTGGTCTGTCCTAGCCGCGGCGCTCGGTCCCCTAGCCTGAAATACAGGCGCGGGGGGGGGGGGGGTTCTAATCATTTTTCTCCATGGCTAATCCGATTTTCTAATCCATATATCTTTGAAATCCAATGTTGTAGATCTTAGATATGAATTCTGTTCAATTAATCTATGTCAATAAAAAGCCTGACATTTCAGATAAAGGCTATTTGTTGTGAATGGCCTGGTATAGCCTCAATTTTTGACATTTACACAACTTAATAGCTCAGTTCTAAATTAACTTATAATTCATTTATTATATTTATTCATGTATTATGCTATAGTTTTGAGACTTTAAGTCGCCTCTTATTTGTCCTGTTTAGTGACACACCCTGTATTGACTTCTATATCATAAAATACATAAATTGTGAATTTGATCAAGAACCGGAAATTAAACGGATACAAAAAATGGAAAAATATACAAAACTGAAAAACTTTTCGGTTTTTATTTTCTTTATAAATCGTGTGATTAAAGAATGATGAGGGACAGTAATTTTAATTAACTCTTCAGTAATAAAGTGGCATGTACAATTCTCAATGGTACCCTTTAAACCTTTTTCTGATCATTGACGACGAATATGTCCATATTTTTTAGCTTAAAACAAGAAAACCCAGTGGCCAAATAACTTAACAATTCATGGCACTCTATTTTTGTCTAGAAAAGTAAGGATTTCTCAGTCTTCCTGAATTTGACATGACCCTGTACAAATGGAGGATCATTGAAATACGTGTACAGTCCCTTTAAACATTGAAACTACGTGTACAGTCCCTTTAAACATTGAAAATACGTGTACCAGTCCCTTTAAACATTGAAACTACGTGTACAGTCCCTTTAAACATTGAAACTACGTGTACAGTCCCTTTAAACACTGAAACTACGTGTACAGTCCCTTTAAACATTGCAACTACATATACAGTCCCTTTAAACATTGTAACTATGTGTACAGTCCTTTAAAACATTGAAACTACGTATACAGTCTCTTTAAACACTGAAACTACGTATTAAACGTATTAAACGTATTAAACATTGTAAAACTGCGTATACAGTTTCTTTAAACATTGAAACTACGTGTACAGTCCCTCTAAACATTGAAACTACGTGTACAGTCCCTTTAAACACTGAAACTACGTATACAGTCCCTCTAAACATTGAAACTACGTGTGTACAGTCCTTCTAAACATTGAAACTACGTGTACAGTCCCTTTAAATATAGAAACTACATGTACACTTCCTTTAAACATTGAAACTACATATACAGCCCCTTTAAACATAATTTAAATCTCCTAAGTATTAAATATTTAAAAATATTTTTTTTCAGTAGAGATGATTCTCAAATTTATTTGAGCTTTTTCTTTACTTTGCTACAATTTGGATTTATGGTGCAGTAATAAATAATGTGAAAATCTATTACACAGTTGTTTAGTTGCAAAGATAAGGTCTATTAAATAAAGAGCCGAAACTGTTATCTAAAGTGTATACTGAAGGGTTCTCCTGTAGTGGTGAATAATAATAATAATTATGGAATAACAAAATTTATATATCTTTATTTATAAAAATGATAACTATACAAGTATGCAGTATTGTAAATAGCGATGGGCAATAGCTTTTACAGAAACTTTTAAAATTGTATTCTGTGGAAGTTTGCCTTTATAAAACATGCAAATTTGTTATCCTAGGTGAAAATATCAGGCATAAACAAACCCAAAAACTATCGTTTTGAAAACCCAAAAATGATCGTTTTCAAACGATCGTTTTTGCTCTACATTTTCTGCTAGGGTAACCAATTTGCATGTTTGATAAAAGCAAACTTCTACAGAATAAAAATTTAAAATGTTGGAACCTTATCATATTGTCGTAAAACACTTAAAAGTCTAACAATTTAAAACGTTTCTGTAAAACTAAGCTTGCTATCGCCCATCTTTAGTTGTAAAATTAAATTTGATATTTATTGATATTATGTGTAATGTATCTCTAAACTGTAGAGCTGTATATTTTTTTATATTTATATTCATTTAAAACCACCAGTATTTTCTGGATTTTTTGATTAAATTTGTTTTTATATTTTTAAAACAATATTTATTTTAATTTTCTTCTGATCGGAAAATTTGGTAATGGTGGGGAAGAACACAGGAAACTACTAGTAAACAACAGATTCTTGGAAAAGAAGAGAAGGGAAAGCGTGTAGGAAAAATAAGAGAAAGGAAAGCGTGTAGGAAAAATAAGAGAAGTGAAAGCTTGTGGGAAAAATAAGAGAAGGGAAAGCGTGTAGGAAAAAGAAGAGAAGGGAAAGTGTGTAGGAAAAAGAAGAGAAGGGAAAGCGTGTAGGAAAAAGAAGAGAAGGGAAAGAGTGTAGGAAAAAGAAGAGAAGGGAAAGTGTGTAGGAAAAAGAAGAGAAGGGAAAGCGTGTAGGAAAAAGAAGAAAAGGGAAAGAGTGTACGAAAAATTGGAGAAGGGAAAGCCTGTAGGAAAAATAAGAGAAGGGAAAGCGTGTAGGAAAAATAAGAGAAGGGAAAGCGTTTAGGAAAAAAAGAGAAGGGAAAGAGTGTAGGGAAAAAAAAGAGAAGGGAAAGCGTGTAGGAAAAATAAGAGAAGGGAAAGCGTGTAGGAAAAATAAGAGAAGGGAAAGCGTTTAGGAAAAATAAGAGAAGGAAGGCGTGCAGGAAAAATAAGAGAACGGAAAGCGTTTAGGAAAAATAAGAGAAGGAAAAGAGTGTAGGAAAAATAAAAGAAGGGAAAGCGTGTAGGAAAAATAAGAGAAGCGAAAGACTGAAGGAAAAAGAAGAGAAGCGAAAGAGTGAAGGAAAAATAAGAGAAGGGAAAGAGTGTAGGAAAAATAAGAGAAGGGAAAGCGTGCAGGAAAAATAAGAAAAGGGAACGCGTGTAGGAAAAATAAGAGAAGGGAAAGCGTGTAGGAAAAATAAGAGAAGGGAAAGCGGGTAGGAAAAATGAAAAATTACGAAGAAGAAAAACCAATTCTAAAAAAAATAAGAAAAGGAAAATCAAGAAACACGCCGGGGAAAATTGAAAATAATGAAAGTTAGGATAAAAAAATTGGAAATCAGGAAAAGCGTGAATGGATGAAGAGAAATCAGGAAAAGTCTGAAGGGAAAAAGGGAAATCAGGAATGTCATAAGAAAAGAAGAGCAATCAGGAAAAGTCTGTAGAAAAAAGAGAATATTCGGAAAAGGCTGAAGGAAAAAGAGAAAATCAGGAAAAGTGTGAAGGGAAGAAAAGAAATCAGGAAAAGTTTAGTTAAATCAGTAAAATTTTGTCACATAAAAAAATACATAAATCATAAAATTGTTTTGCGAAATTGTTTTGCTTATGGCAGAGAAAAAATAACACAATAAATGTTTAAGTAAAATTCATCCAAAAAAACATTATAAACATAAAGGAAGGAGAAAACAATAAAATGCGAAAATAAAATCGACTAAAACCAAACCAAAGAATATTTCTTAAATAAAAGTGTAGTTTATGTCCAGGTTGAAGTACACCACAGGAATTCACAGAAATAAATTTTAGAAGAGAATTATTTCATTTGATCTTAAAAAGATCTTGAAACATTAAAAACTCTGAGTAAAGTAATTTACAAGAAAGGGTTTTTTCTCCAACAAACAGACAGGAATGTTTCATTGAATCAATTTCAAAAGATCAAATTAAATTAAAAGATTTAAAAGAATTGCATTTTTCTTTCAGAAAAAAAATCCCTTTATATTTGCAACCTGATGGTTCAAACTTAGATTATCCTAAACTATCCTAACCTATACTAAACTATCCTAAACTATTCTAAACTATCCTGAACTATCCTAAACTATTCTGAACTATCCTAAACTATTCTAAACAATCCTTAACAATTCTAAACTATCCTAAACTATCCTAGACTATCCTAGACTATCCTAAACTATCCTAAACTATTCTAAACTATTCTAAACTATCCTGAACTATTCTAAACTATCCTAGACTATCCTAAACTATCCTAAACTATACTAAACTATCCTAAACTATTCTAAACTATCCTGAACTATCCTAAACTATCCTGAACTATCCTAAACTATCCTAAACTATCCTTAACTATTCTAAACAACCCTTAACTATTCTAAACTATCCTAAACTATCCTAAACTATTCTAAACTATCCTAAACTATTCTAAACTATCCTAAACTATCCTAAACTATCCTAAACTATCCTAAACTATCCTAAACTACCCTAAACTATCCTAATATGTTCAAAGCTATCTTAAATTACGATTCAACTATTGTCTAAAGAAGCCAATTTTCCGTTTTTGTATATGGATGCCTGAATTCAAATTGATGAAACCATAACAATTAGCCCTAAATAGTCCTGAAGGAGAACATATATTGCTTTATATTAAGTAAAAAAGTAAATATCAAAGTTTGCGTGAAATCTGTGCATACCTGGAGACTGTAATCTAGAGAGATGATTCCTTCCCGAGACTAACTGTTGAATTGAGGCCGCTACAATATATTCTTCACGCGCTCTTAACCCACTCCTAGCCCTTCATCCTCCCTTCATCCTCCCTTCTTCCTTCCTTCATACTTTCATTCATCCTCCCATTCTTCCTTCATCCTTCCTTTATTCTCCCTATATACTTGCCTTCATACTTTACCTGGTCCTTCTTTCGTCCTCCCTTTATACTTTTCTTCCTTCATCTTCTCTTACCTGAACCTGTCCTATCAATCCCTTTCTTCTCTCTAACCTGAACACCTGTCCTATTCTTCTTTCATCCTTTCTTACCTGAACCTATCCTATACATCCTTCTCTTCTCTCTAACCTGAACCTGTCCTATCCATCTTTCTTTTCTCTCTAATCTGAACACCTGTCCTATCCTTCCTTCATCCTCTCAAAACTGAACCTGTCCTATCCATCCTTCTCTTCTCTCTAACCTAAACCTGTCCTATAGATCCTTCTCTTCTCTCTAACCTCCACATCTGTCCTACAAATCATTCTCTTCTCTCTAACCGGAACCTGTCCTTTCTTCATCCTCCCTTCATACTTTCCTTCCTTCATCCTTCATTCATCCTCCCTTCTACCTTCCTTCGTCCTTCATTTATCCTCCCTTCTCCCTTCCTTCTCTCTCCTCTTTTACTTTCTCCACCTTTTTATCACTTCACCTTCTCCTCCTTCTTCTCCTTCTCGTCCGTTTCCTTCGCCGTCGCCCTCTCCTCCTCCTTCTCCTTCTCATTTATTTTAATACCTCTCTTTCTAATAATCCTTCTCCTCCATCTCCTTGTTACCATGCAGAAAACAATTTTGTTTAAGGAAAAGACGGGGTGGCATTGCCCCCCTCCTCCTTCTCATTAAAGGGTGTGCAACTACGAATTCCCCCCCCCCGCTTTCCATTTCAATTGATTATTGAAATAATCTTCTTTTCAATGAATCAAGATATAATTGTATTTAATATCTGTTAAATATAGAATTCGCTGATCATGAATGATCATCTTTTTTATTACTGTGTGCGACGGGAGACTAAAACTACGTTTAAACATTTACTCAAGAAATAATCGTATAAATACATTTATGCTATTGAATGTAAGCGTTGCAAGAACGGATTATCTCTTCTTTCAAAAATTTTTGCTTTATCATAATGTTAAACTTAAATCAGGGGTTTTAAAAGGAATGGGAGCGTAATAATTTTACGTGACCCTTCATCCAAAAATGGCAATGCCCGAAACACAATTGTATCCTTAAAACCTTTACCTAGTCAATAATTTGTAAGATATTGTCAATTTTCTAGTTTAAAAAGTGTTTAATTCTGACCATTTCTCTATGTTTTCCTGCACAAAAAATGCGAAAGTCATCTTTGTAAAGAAACCACAATTGAAAATAATCAGTTTTAAAAAATGCAAACATTGAAGTTTAATTCATACTTGATCAGGGATACCGTTGTAAATAGAACATTGACATCTTTGCATCGAGCGTCACGAGAAATTTTTCTTTATAGTTCCTTTAAAGGGACCTTTCACTTATTTTGGTAATTTGAGGGTAAACTAAAAAGCCTATTAGTTATTCGATAGTATTAGTATTAGTTTTCAAAGACAACAGTGGCTTGAGAAAAAGCCGATTTATCAAGCATAGACACTATTTGATGCTTTTTGTCATAGTCAGGGATTTTTTTAAATTTTCAAATATTAAATTAAATTGTAGTATCTAATAGTTTACTGTAGATATCTTAAGTTATCTTTTTTCAAAATATAACTTATTTAAACATTTAACCGTTTTTTTCTACTTCCCTGGAAATCCCTGAGCCCGAAATTTAAAAGAGTATCGTTGAATGAAACTCCCGAGTTTCCATTTCGGGGTCCTAACATTTGAGTAGATTTTAATTTAAGAGATTCAAAAAAAAGGAGAATATGAAGAAAACCAAATAATACAATATTTCATAACAAAAATATTGATATCCACAAAACTGCTTAACACCATTCGTGAAACCCGGGTTTCAGAACTGGTTTTTATAACGATACCCTGTCTTAAGTTATGGGCTCTGTGATTTATTGAAGAGTTAGAATCTGGGAACCGGTTTGTCTGAGAGAGAAAGTCGTCTTTGTATCAACTTGTTAATTTGTTAAATCATTTTTGAACACGAAAAACGTTAATTTCTTGCTAATTCTAAAATCCAAAGTTTATATATTTTATTATACATTGACTGACACATGATGTCATTGAAATATGATAATTTCCGCTGGAATTCTAAACGATAAATCGGCTTTTTCTCCGGTCATAGATATATTTGAAAAGTAAGACTAATACCAAAAAATAACTAATAGGCTAATTTGTTTTACCATGAAATTACACAACAAAGTGAAATGGGGGAGGAATCATGATTTATTTAAATAATAAGATAATTAAATATTATTTAATTGGTTTGTTTAAATGGAATTTAAAGTTTGTACTAGTAAACGTGCAAATTTGAACAGACTTATACAAATGTAACTTTTTCTTAGATTCAGATTACATTAAATTTTATCTGAAATGAATTGTTGGAAAGAAAAGGATATTGTTATCCATGGGAATTGTTTTAATTTTTTCATAAATCTCTTTTCTTGCTGTTTTTTTCTTTCTCCATCCTTAATCTTTTTATGCATGTTTCCTAGTAACATGAAAATATCCTACTTAAAAGTACTAAAAGTATTAAAACAAACCTAACAAATACCCAATTTTTAATCCAATTAATCTGTGCTTATTTACTTCTGAAATCCACGTGAGGGAAAAATGATAAAAATGATTGACTTTTTCTTGTTAGTAATTTTCATTATTACTTTTATATTCATTTATCGACAGAATTTCCCGATTCTGTAATCCTTCATCTTTATACAGGGTTTAAGTGACATTCAAATGGACTGTTCAATGTTTATCTAATCGAAATTCACATCTATATTAGATAAACAATAAGTCAGTCATATTTGATGTAGGATTAAGATAGTACAATTAACCCCTAAATAAGCCATACATAGAAAGAACTCATGAACTGTAGTATTCTTCACTTTCTGATAATGGAATATTGCAGATATTTAGTTTTTTAATTAAATGATTTTATGGAGCTCTTTAAAACTGTTCCCGCATATTCATGGCTATTTATTTATTTTCGAAAATACGAAGATTTATGTATAATAGTATAAAACCCATTGGAACATTGGATAAATTCTTTCGACGTATGTCTCATTTAGGTTTTAACTGTATGGTAATTCATACACGATGATGACTCTATTTTAGTAGTTTTTTGTAAACATTTTTAAATTAGTTTTGTTGAAAATTGCCTTTTTTTGAACTGTTCATTAATGGGTGTGACGACTTGATTATAAGTGACCCCAATTGGTAGTGCACATGTCCGATTCACACCTTTCTTTCAGCAAATTTGACGGAAATATTCTTTTTTTGGTTTTGTTAAATTGATTCTTTTCTGTGGCGGTTTCACAACATCTATATTGACTTGCAGATTTAGCATAAGGAACATGGAGGGGTAAATTAATAAGTTAATTTCCTTTTATATTTGAAAATGGTGATGTCTTCGAATCTACTCAGATAAAGGATTTAAGGGTATCATTGTGAATCGGGTATGACAATTGTTTTAAAAAAGGGTTAAATGAAATTACGTCACATGTCCCTTTTATAAATGATTTTACCAGCTTGAGGCTAAAATGAGTCTTCCATTGAATATTTAGTTTTCACCTTTTAAATGAAACCTTTCAATAAATAATCTTAATTAAAAACATTATTTTCATATGAAACCGTGTTTTGTTGCGGGGGCTTGGAAAATGAATGCTTCATATATTTTCAACATTAAATGGAACGGAATGTTTTTTAACTGTATAATCTCCATTGTTTTTCTCTGGCAGAAATAATCCAATTACTATTGTATACAGAAAGCCCAATTGAACATAAACAGTTTCCAAAATTATAAACACTAGCCTTGGAGGGCGCTTCGCGCCCATCTTCCAAATTAAGTGTGAACATGTTCTCTTTGTGTACATCGTAAAACAAAACAAAAATAATTCGCGGATTTTCACAAAAAATTTCGTGGATTTTCAAAATTTTAAAAAATTTAATGACGATCGAATTTTGATGGAGACAAATATTTGAAATTTTGATCATTCATAAACCTTCCCTAGATGTCCCACAAAAAATTTGGGCCCGATCGGTTCAGCCGTTTTGACGTTTATTGGATGCAAACAGACAGACAGACAGACAGACATAAAAACAGACAGACAAGCCAAATTTATATTTAGATTAATATTTAGACAAAGCTTTTAGGTTAACGTTACCTAGTTCAAAAGGTCCTCCTCCGGCTTAAATAAGTTCTTTGTTTAAAAGGGGATTCCATGATTATGAATTGAAAGCCGTGAATATAGACAGAACAGCAACTAATCTTTGTTTTACTCCTTTATAATATCCAAAATGTGGTCTGCCATGCTATCAAAATGACCAAAGATAATAAGAATTTTGCTTCAATTGCAATTCATTATAAAAAAAAAATTCTTATTCTGAACGAAATCATTTCCCAATAATCATCTAAGCACATATAAAAGGCAGTTACCACACTTTGGAAGGACCAGGAATTTTTTGGGATTATTGTTTGATGAAAAATATTTCTTTAATTAGGTTGACAAATAAATAGCACAAACTTTTTCAAAGGTCAAAGGCAACTGTTCATGGTCTCATATCTCAATTGTTAAGAAATTCCGTGCTTGAAATTAGCACTTTATACAAAGTAAAGAATGGAAAACGGAATAGTAAACAAAATTATTCCTACCCTTCAAGTAAGGAATGGAAAACGGAATAGTAAACAAAATTATTCCTACCCTTCAAGTAAGACGAACTGTGGTTTTTGGCCCAATGTGCAGCGTACACAATTCTTATACTAAATTATATTATAAAGATTTAGTCACACACAAAGATATAAATACGTATATAAATGTTGAAGTTAAAAAGAAAAATTTATATAA